GGTAAAGGTGGCACTAAAAGGGAGGGCAGAAAGAGGGGTGGATCGGGAAAAAGTTATGAGGGCTGCTGGGTTTTGTGGCCCTTGTGTGTGTTCGGATGTATTTCTGCTGTTGTAGAGGAGGGTGCTTGTGTTGCGACTCCAGAGTGCTGGGGTGTGAGTGGTTGGTACAGCAGACTAGTCAGCAGGTGGTGAGTGTGTAAGAGGGAGGGGTAGTGTGGTAGCAGGTTGGGGAAAGATAGGAGGGGTGCAAAGTTGGGGAGAGAGTAGATTGGAAGAGGCAGAAAGAGTAGTTGCAAAGGAGAACAATGGATTCTAGCATAAGAAAAGGAGGGAAAGTGAAGGGGGTAAAAATAGTGATAAGAAAATAGTGATGGTAAAAGTTAATAATATAGAAAAAAACAGGTACAGCAACAACAAAAAGTTCAGTCTGCTCAATGAAAGCTCTGGACTTATTCCTTTGGCATCCAATCCTGGTATTGGCGCTTGGTATTCTAGGATTTGTGGGGAAGGTTCTGCCCCTCTTGTCAGACACCTTGGGGTGGAGATGGCTGGAAGGTTTTTTCTTTTCTTTTCTTTTTTCTGCTTTCCTTGGTCTTATGTGCCATCATTGCAAGCAGGAGTCCTGAAGTGAACTGGCTTCTGAACAGTATTTGGTGGCTTCTGTCCACAGGACAGGTTGTAATTGGGACCTGAGGTAACTCATTGCCAGTCTTTGCAAGATCTGTTGTTTTCACTAGCTGGCAGCTGTGTTGCCCTACAGCTGTTGGTCTGCAGGTTTATGCAGGCAGCTTTGAAACCAGCCAGCAGGGAGAAATGGTGTGCCACTTTTCTCAAGGCAGATACCTCCTGGGACTGTGTTTAGCATGGTGGAACATAGGGAAACTTTTCATGGCTTAGAGGTCCAGGGTTTCACAGAGTTCAGTTATGCTTGATGCCCTCTCTTCTGCTTATTGAAAGGAGGAGGGGGTGGAGGGAAATGGAGAAATGACCTGGGGCTTTTTTTTTTTCCCAGGGCAGACACTGTTGGCTGTGCCACACTGGGATTTTCCTAGCTGTTAGGTACAATTAAAGGCTGTTTTATGGGTCAGTCCTTGAATTTTATGTGCACCTAATGTGTTGGTGGTTATTATTTTGGCTACAAGGAATCAGAATTACCCAAGTGTAGCTCCCACGACTTGAGGTGGTTTCTGGAGTTATGGAGTTCAGGAATTCTGATTCCCTATCCTAACCACCATCTTGGATCCACCCTGACTGAGTTTTTGGAACATAGGTTCATGGGTGACAGACTTCTTCCATGAAATGACTCTAGATGATCCTTCAATCTTCTTCTGTTCACTGTCTTCCTCTTATCTCCCCCTTTCTGTATGCCAACTTTTCCTGGGACATTTCCACTTCCATCTCCTCACTGTAGACTTCTCACCTGACCTAAACCTCAAATACACACTCAAAACAAAGGCAATGTTTTCAAATAAAACTTCTTCCAACTCTAAGATTTCCTTAGTGTTTTCAAATAAAACTTCTTCCAACTCTAAGATTTCCTTCATTGTCAGTGAAATCTGATTCTGTGGTCCAAGCACAACTTTAAAGTCTTGGCTCTTCTTTCTCATTTAAAAATAACAGTTGAATGAAATACAAAACATAGGTGTAATACATCTCCCACGACCTCACATTTTTAGGTAATTTTTTTTTTTGCCAACGGATCTTGCACTTATACTAATGTCTCTTTTTTTCTTTCCTTAAAAAGTACTCAGTTATTCCATTAAAAGTCAAAAGAAAAATAAACAGTTTCTCAGGCAATGTGAGGCAATAACAGAGGTCTTAAACACTTTAAGAACATTTTTTGATTGAGTGGAAAGAACCAATTTTTGTTGCTAGCTATTTCTTTGAGAAGAAAGAAAGAAAGGCTAAGTGTGTATATAAAGAGAAAGGAAAGGTTTATTTCTTTATTTCATTTCTGCCCTTAGGACATTTCTAGAGGAAAGGGCAGTAAACAGGAAATAATGGTATATGGCCTGTTATTTCAAAGTAATGGTGAATGAAAATTCACACAATTATGAATCCAAATGTCAAAGCCAAAATTACTTTGTCTTTAGATTGTTGTTTAAATTCCTAAGCGCAGAAAGTACTGTTTCTAAGTGTGAGTACTTGTAAATGTATACTTATAAGTGCAAATGTAAATATACATATACACAAGCACAAATGTATACGTGTGTGTGTACATGTGGAATATAGAGGTATATGCACACACATATTCATATATTACATGTGGAACTTACATATATATATGTATACATATATGTTGAGAGAGACAAAACCAATAGTGCTGATCAAAACCAATCACATTTTTTGAAAAGTCAAACTGGCTAAAAACAAAACCAAGAAATCAATTCTCCTTCCCAAAAGAACTCTAACAAATTTAAGATTCTCAGCATAAATGCTCTGGCCTTTCCCAGCAGGCACAATACCAAGGTGGTGTCTGAAAAACAAACATACTTTGTGGTAGATAACTGTTTTCTTGGCCTCTGAATCACTGTGGCCACATTCTTATGAAGAAAATTGAGGTCTATTTTGCCAGTTATTTTATTTTTCCAGAGTAGGAAAATCCCCACCCTAAGGCACAGGAGTGAAAGTTCCTAAATAAATGGTTCCTTTCCTCATTACCATGAAGAGGTGTTACTCAGATTCTCAGCTCTCATGACATTCTGACTGTGATGGAGCCTGTATATAACTTTCTAGAATCTCGGGAGTATGTCTGTGTGTGTGTGTGTGTGTGTTTGTGTGTGTGTGGGAGTGTGTTCTCCCAACACTTTTAAGTGTTCAAGTACACATGCAAAAATCCAACAGAATTGAACTGTGGTTCGCTTTCACATGTCTACATAGCTGTGTCATTTCTTCATCCTGCTCATCTTTAGTATATAATCACATTATTACTTTTTCTCCTGGTTGGCATGCATTTACAAAGTCCCTTCTCTGTATCTGGTTCATGCCTTACACAAAGATTTGTGTGGACACAAAGATTATTTCTTCCTCCATTTATTTCAACACGTTCCATTCCATGAAGTCTTTGGGATATGCAATGTAAAGAGTCCTGCCCTGGAAAGGCTTACACTTATTTTTTTGCCTTTTCTAATCATATTTTCTTTGCCTTTTCCAATCCTGAAATACAAATATTTCACCTTAATTGGAGTCAAGAACAAAGGACATAATTCCTCTGTTGAATCACTTCATTTTACAGAACTGTCTAACTGCTGCTAGGTCAACAGGTATGAATTAGGCTAGGGTCACCTGTTTGATAGTTATCTAAATATACATAGGAAGAAGAGTTTGTATTTCTCAGGAGATCTTTTTTTGTGACATAGCAAAAATGCACTATTACACTGGAAGAGACAAATCCAACAAAGAATATATGTGGATATAGTGAAAAAGTTGAAATTCTAATGTAATTTATAAGAATAATTTAAAAATTAGTAGACTTAGAAACTTTGACATCTAGTTTTAACTATTTAAGACTTTAGAAAGTCTTATTCCATGAGCCACAGTTGTCCAAATTGTATCGTTTTACTTTAGTTTTTTTGTTACTACTGGGGATTGAACTATGGGCCTCATGCTTGCTAGCCAGGTCTTCTACTACTTGAATCACTTTTCCAGCCCATTTTTTGCTTTTTAGGGATATACCAACTTAATTCCTTTATCAGTTTCCATACAGAACTGCAGGCTAAAATTCTTCCCCCCCCCTCTTTTTTTTTGAATTTTTTTTTCATTTTACCTCTGTTTTATTAGAATTGACCAATTATAGCTTCCATTATTGTAAGTTTTCTCCTGTGAAACTTCTTTCTACCACACCCAGTTTCCTTGCACTTCAGTTTAACTCAGCAGATTTGGATTTAGGTTTACTTTCACTAGGAATAATGATTGTACAATAGATTAAGGAAAGCAGATCTGTCTATTAGCCCATCACTGAGATACTCAGAGATCATTGTCAATATCACCCCACAAATGCCCTGTTTCTGTAACCCAGTGCTCCTTTGACTCAGCTGTGTGAACTTGAGTTAATTTATATTACCCATCTATAAGACTGTGCTAATAATGAACTTCTAACTTCTTGTTAGGAATCGAAATAAATCATTTAGAAGAAGTTTTGTTGTAGAGTAAGAATCCCATATGTGCTATATATGATTATAGTTAACATGTATTACTCATGTACTACTGATTACTTTGCCAAAAGTGTGCTCATCAAATGCACCATCTGTGGAGAGCAAATTATTGTATCAACCTGATACTCAGAATGTCCGCTTCACAGGTAATAACCCTTGTCTTATAGACTTGCTGTTGGTAATAAGACAATATGCAAAATAAACCCACTACTTACATAGTAAACACCAAGCCTTTTCCTTTTCCATTCTTTGGTATGTGCGCCTTGAGTTTAGAGGATGGGGAAAAAAGATGTTGGTCTTTCTAAATACAGAAGGGTCTGATTCATGTGTCATTTTGAGTTGGTTATACCAAAGCTCCAATATTCTTTCCAAAACATATTAAGAAAGATGTAATTTGCTCATCTTGTTCTCTGGCTCTTGCTCTGCAATTAACACTTTAATGCTTTATGTGTTCTTAATGATTACAAGCTCAGTTACAGATTGAGTAATACTTACCAGAAATGCTTGGGACCAGAAGTTTTTAGGATTCTGGCTTTTCTCAAGTTCTGGAATATTTGCATATATATAATGAGATGTCTTGGAGATGGGACTCAAGTCTAAATACAAAATTCACTTACATTTTATATATACCTTATACCTTAGCCTGAAGATAATTTTATGCATATTTTTAATAATTTTGTGCACAAAAGAAAGTTTTATGGTGTGGAATTTTCCACTTGTGGTGCTCATAAGATTTCAGATTTGGGGGCATTTCAGATTTCAGATTTTTAGATGAGGAATGTTCACCCTATAGATGATGTTCATAAAATTTCTGCATGTATTTTTATGTTTCTGTATTTTTTTTAGATTTACTTGTGGGAGCATTTGGCATGGGAAAAGTAGCTGTTTACAGGTATGTGATTGGTAATATGCAAATGTTCTTCTAATTGTTTTAAATGCCTTTCCTTTTTGTTGTTACTTTTGCCTAAAAGGCCATGTTCCAACTACTTATTCTGGAGAATATTTATATGTTCTTTTTAAAGTCTGGATGTATTTTTATTCTCGGTTTTTAACCTTTCTTTCATTCCTCTGTATTTTTATTCTCAAACTTTATGACCAAACTTCCAGCCTCTACTAATGTAATATTAAATAAGATATAAAATTCACCAAGTCAAAAATGACTCATTTTTAGCTGCCACTATATTTAAATGCTTCTCTGTGCTTTGGAAATCATTAAAACATGCACTTAATAAAGAAAGAGCATCATGGAAGAATGTTACTGTTTATCCTGGCTTTTATAATCCAGTGTGGACACTAAGTTAGGAAACAGAACTTACCAGGAATTGGTAGCCTCCGAAAGCAAATATTGAACAGCAGTTCAAATCATTAGATGTAGATTCAAAGTCTGGCCATTCCACATACTCACTAATTTGTAACCTTTGGCAAATTCCTATACTTTTCTGAGCCTCAGATTTTTATCTATAAAATGGAGTAACAATACTTGTTTTATAAAAACTTATAAATCCTTTGTTTAAAGGAGTCAGTAAGAATCTGCTTGTAAAATAGTAACTAGTTAAATAGTTCATGCTCAAAATTTTCAGACTTTCTTAAAAAATTATAAAAATTCAAGAAACTAGGTCAGAATAGCAAGATAAAGGTAGAGAGCATACAGGCATCCTCAATTTGCAATGTTCATCAGCTCCCAGAGAGATTCTTTTAGTAAGATTTTCTTCATCCTCCATCCCAAGATAAACTCAGTGAGGACTTATTTATACCATCCATGCTCCATTTCAGGTTCTAGAGAATCAGAAAGTCTCTGAAGGATGAGGCTTGGGTTTATGGTGACCCTGAGACACACCACTGAGCTGCTGGAGAGAAACTGACCCATGGACGCAGCTGTAATGCTCTGAATCCACCATTGCCTTTGTGCCAACCTATTCCCATGAGACATGGTACTCTTGTCACAGGCAACTCTGGCTCAAAGACATCCTACTGCTCAGGCCAGAACTTTCTCATCCAACTTTCTCTCCTTCCCTTCATCTTTACAGGAATAAGAACTCCTAGCCTCTTTCATTCATTCCCCTTTTTACCTATCTTTGCCAAGATAAATCTCCTGCATACTTAATACTATTTGTCATCTTCTTTACAAAGGACTAGAGCTAACATAATATTAAAGATAAAATCATATAATACTATACAGATAAATAGCATAAGTGATCTTAGAAAAAATTCCCGTGGACCCCAGATAGTAATCCTAAAATAACATTCTGCCCCAAGACATTGCCCTCCCTTTTGTCTGTCAGAGAAAAACTTATCCAACATGGTGTCACTGAATGTTGAAATCTGGAGACTTTGTCTCCTAGTTGTCATATCTTATCATCAAACTGGAACAATTGCTCTACTCCCTTGCCCATGATTTACTCTCTTGCCTTGTTATCCTTGCCTGGTTGGCTAGAATGCCATTGACTCCTTATCAGTTCCTCTCCTCTAACTTGGCTGCCTAAAAGAATCACCAGAAGAATGTGTTTAAAATTCCAATGCCTGGCCCTTGCCCCAAGAAGCTCTAGTTCAGTTGGTCCATGGTGGAGTTTGGCCCAGGGTGCAGTCAGGATTAAGAACTTTTACTCTGGATGAAGTAAATAATTGTTATTATTTATTTTAAACTCAATTCTTACTCTTAAACTCATCCTTCATGTGTTTAGCTAAATCTTCAAAGCTCAGTTAGAAAATTATCAATTGAAATGAGAGATTATCAATGAGCTAGCAAAAATTGTAAAATTCAAGTGCTTACTCTGATGTGTTTCTTCAAATACGTATATAGATATTCTAGACAATCATAGAACCGTATTTCACAGAAATGTTGTCACAATATTGTGAATCCATTCCATAACGAAATCAAGTTTGTGATCATGGGCTACCAAATGTGTTTAGAGGTTGAGCACTGGGCCCACCTATGCATACAGTGAGTGGGATTCGTGGCATAAGGCTGGGAATGTTGACAGTGACCTTTGAAGTAGAATTCCATCTGATTTACAGTAAGCTTCTGCCTGTGGCTCATGGGGTCAATTCAAACTCTGCATTTTCTTTCTGCAGAGCAAGACCGGTTGTGACTGTGGATGCCCAACTTCTGCTTCACCCAATGATTATCAATCTTGAAAATAAAACTTGCCAGATTTCAGAATCTGGGACACTTGTGGCTTGGTGAGTTAGCTCAAACTCTGATGTGGGTTCAAATCACTGGGGTATTTGTTTTTTAAAAAAGCATATTTTGGTACTGTAAGTCTGGGGAATTGAGATATTGCATGTCTAAGAAAAAGCTTCAAGAGGTTGTTGATGCTGCTGGTGTGTGGACCAAGTTCAAGTATCTAGGAATTAGTCTTTCAAAAGGAAACAAGACTTGATGGTGACCTTTGCTCACGGATTTATCATACAAGGGCTTTCTCTGCTCTACAGGCTCTTAGTAGGATGAAAGTTTATAAACATTTGGGAAAATTCCTATTAAAGTAAAAAAATTCTTGCAGATCTCTTTTTGTTTCTTGACACATTAGAATTAGCATTAACCTATATGCACATGAATCTGCTTATGCAATGGATATCACTTTTCAGATGTATATTATGTTCCTCTTTTTTTACTAATCTAGCTTTGGTTAAATTATTCAATTTTATTTTCTGAGAATAGATATCAGTTTTGTAACTTAGTACAAGTCAACAGAAGGTGCACAGTATAAATGGAGAGATTTTTGTCCCCTGACTGATATATTTACATCCATGTTCATCAAGAATACCCATAGAGTGACAGTTCCTTTGCCTGAACTCTAGGACAACATGGCTTATGCAGTTTCTAAGTGTTCCCTCTGAATATCTGAATCCTAACAGTTGAGAAAAGAACTTGATTATAACACAGATCAAGAAAATACTGCTTTGTTTCTCAACAAGTAGGTCCTCAAGGGTCAGAGCCGCGACACTGGATGTCATCAGAGTACGCTCCAGAATATCAACAAGCCTGAGACGTTTGAGATCTGCCCTCATTTTCCACAAGCTGTGTTCTAACTCAGGCAATATGTTTAATTCCTGAGAATGTCAGCATGTAGAAGAAACCAGCCTTGACCCAAAGAAGTTATTTCCAGCCCATTTTTGAGTGTTGTTGATGGCCTTTTGACAGGAATTCGTACTGGAGTCGATGCACCTGAGGGTAGAAGGTGGAGGGGTTCCAGGACCCTGAAGAACTCCTGAAAAACATCCTGCATCCTGTTGCTGGGGGCTCCCAGTGCAGGGAGGCATGGCCTCTCCTGTAACTGCTTTTGAAAGTAGTTGGGAAGTGCCACGAGCACATTTTAAAATGGTTTGAAATCATAAAATAGTATAATGAAAACCTGACGTGAGAAAATATGTGAGAGAGCCAGCATTTTCCTTTACCCTGGCATGATTAAATGAACATTAAATGAACTGTGAGTGATACTTGAGCAGAAGCCTTAAAACTTTAATAATCCCCCAGACTTAATAATCTATTCACACCTTCAAACTGCATGGACTTCTAGACTGAATTCTTTTAAGCACTGGTAGCACATTCTGGTGTAAGATGTGTTTGTTTTGAGGTAAATTCATTTTCCTAAGGATTTTTAGTTTTATGGATTGTTTTATAAGATGTAAATACCTTAAAAATGAAAATGGGAGCCAGGCATGGGGACACAAACTTTAATCCCAGCTACTCAGGAGGCAGAAACAAAAGGATTGCAAGTTTGTAGTTGGCTCTGCAAAATTAGTGTGACCTTACCTCAAAAACAAACTAAAAAAAGGACTAGGGGTCTGGCTCAAGTGATAAAATATGAGACCCTAAATACAATCCCTAGTACTGCAAAAAATTTCTTTTAAAAGGAAAGGAAAAGAAAAAAGAACATGGCCTATTTATTTTGTAGGAAAAATATCATTTTAACCATAAAATGTCATTTTTCATGAGCCACTATTTGTTGCATCAAATCATATTATTAAGATGAAATGTAATTTGTTAATGTGGACAAATTATACTATATTCACACACAATTATTTCCTTAATTCTATTTTCTGAAAGACACCTTGTTTCCACATGCAAAAGCTTTGAATTGTACCTCAAAGTATTAAAAGATAGGAAGTTAGCTCAGTGGCAGAGCACTTGCCTACCACACGCAAGATCCTGGGTTCTATTCCCGGCACCGCCCCCCCTAAAAAAAACAGATAGACCATTAACAACTGACTCAGTGTAAAAATTTTTTCAACTCTTTATCTCTCTCTGATTTAGCTTAGTTTCCCAGAGTGACTGAAAGGCCTCTGATGATCTTCTCTGCTGTAATGTTTGTCTGTGTTTGATATAACCTTGTACTATAGATCTGAAAACAATTACGCAAATTCCAGTGCAGGAATTAATAGTTCTTTGCTTCCATCAGTGCTGAATAGTTCTTTGCTTCCATCAGTGCTGATTTCTGTACCTTTCAATCAGCCAAGTAGCTGTTGCTGTTTCTCAGAAGAAAATAAATCCAGCTCTATAAATATTAATATAATTTATATTATTATAATAAAATTAGTAAAACTAGTAAAATTAGAAAAACTAGTAAAATTTCTCATTTTATAAATGTAAAAGAAACCATCCGTGTCTCCATCTGAAAAAAAAAATTTCAGATTAGAATGACTTTGTGTAAAATCTGATATTTGTCATCATTGCAACAGGACTGAATTGATGAGGATGAAAACTGAATTGCTTTATACTTTAAATCGCCTCTCACATTTATCTCATTCCCTCTTCACCACCCACAACTGTGAACAGAGTCACATGCCAGGATTATTATTCCCACTGTACACAGGTGGTGACTTGGGGAGGATGGTGCAGAATACTGTCCTGCCCACTGAGCAGAGCAAAGGCTCTGTCCACAAAGAATTTCATTTAGATTTATGTGATGAGGGATCTAGGTTGATTTCATATTTTGTTTTGTTTTTCCCAATCAAACCTATTCAGACTTGTAGTCTGATTCAGACAGTTTTTCTGACAGCCCAAGGGTGATTTTTAATTATGTACTGACCTACAAGTGAATCTGTCCATTGTATATAAAACACATAAAGTGTGTGCGCTCATGTACATATATGTATTCTACAAGTGGAATAAGTGTTTCAGCCCACTACTATGCAATTTTGAGACTTTTTTTTACATTAAAACAGAATTTTTGAAAATCTGTAATTACTGATAAAGTCTTCTGCTTTAAACTAGCAGATTTTGTTTGGAGTTATTATCAATAATTAAGTAAGTTGTAACAATTGTATTAAACTTGTATGAAAAAAGTTAAAATCATCTAGTTGCTAATGATATTGAAGTAACAGAATAACTAAGGAAGAAAAATCGATATATGTGACATATAATTCATAAACCAAGAGTAAACCTTTAGTTGACATCATTTATCAAATAGTGTTTGAACATAGAGGACATAGTATTCACAGTATTCATTAATTTATATTGCTTTTGAATTGCTTGTGTTAAACAAATTACAGCATCTAAAATTGTCTTTAATTTATATCTATATTAATAATATCATTACAAATAGGAATTTATCTTATAAAAGCTAATGAGCTTTGTCTAATGTTGAGTAATGATGCCTAGAAGAAAGAACAGAGGCCAATTTTAACTTCCAAAAAAGTTGTGCACAGAAAAAAAATTCCAATTTTTTTGCCAGACCCTACAAAATTTAAAGATGTGATTAACTACTCATCTTCCTTGAATATTTCTAATTGAAGAAGAAGGGGGTTGAAATTCGTGATTTCTCTGGGGAAGTGATATAAATGTTTGCAATAGAATAGACATCCCAGGAAATTTTTGCTTAATGGTGTGTGGCAAATTATTTACCCTGAAGGGAGACCATTGACTGAGGTCACAGAGACAGATGAATCCCAGATGTGACACATTTTCATTATGTTTGACACAGGAAGCTGACAATATAATTAAAGTATGATTAGGGATTATTTACTCCTTTTGAATTCCATAGAAATATTCAAATCATCCTATAGCATTTTATTAGTAAAAACCTGAAGATTGTCACTAAATCATAATCGGTATTGTCTTATATTTTTATTTTCTGGAAATGTGAAATTGCCCCATCTCTAGTGCTGGTTGTGAAATTCAGTTACGGGGTGAGAACATTCAACAAAGTTAGACAGAGAGAATCGGACATTTCTCTTTGCCACAGGGGCTACAGACCAGGGCCAAGTGAAGGTCATTGTACAAGCTATGGCAGATATTTGCATGAACTGTGATTAGGGCATGCTCAAGGCAAAACTATAGTGTTTTTCATGTACATCTATCCTCCTGTGTTATTTTCTTTATACTCCATACCATTGTGACTTTGTACCCCCATCATTATGCCTGAGACAACTGCTTTAAGCTTGTTTTCTTTCTTTCCCTCTTCCCTTTTCTTTCTCTATACTTCCGATCTTACCCCACTCCTATCAAGCTACCATCAAGTTCTAGTCTCCTTCCACACAAAGTAGGTGATCCAAGGTAAGCATAGCATGCTACTCCATGATTCTCAGGATTAAATCCACTTTCTTTAGCCTGTTTTCCAAACCCTGCTCCCCACCAATCAACCATGCTAGCTGTGCCTGTACAAATTTCCCATCTTCCTGAATGCTCCAACATCACTAAATACATTTAAGTGCCTCGCACTGGGGCTCTTCCAGCTTTCCCACTACTGTTCCTCTACTGACTGCTTAATGCTTCTCTCCATGTCTTATGGAAGGTGCTTATATAAGATATGTATCCACTGAATAAAGGCAGCAGGGTAGAAACTGATGGATTGCTTTAATAAGTGAATCTCTAGTAAATCTTCAAGTATTACCTCCCTGTGCATTGTTACTTGTCTAAATTATAATAGTTGGGGTGTGTGTTTGTGTGTGTGATTAGAAGTATAGATGGAAATGTACTGATTTTTATCTGGGAAGAAGGAAACAAGGAAGATTTCTGTTTTGGATTCAAAACTTTACTAACCAATAAATCATTGTCTTATTTTTCCGTAGCTTTTCTTTGAGAGTGTGTGCATCTGTATCAGGCCAGAGCATTTCAAACACAATAGGTGAGAATGATTTTATTTTTACATTTCTGTGTGACACTAAGAAAACTGAACAGTAAGCCTTGCTCTGCACATACCATAGAAAACAAAAGAGCACTTGATAAACACCCAGATTCTATTGCTTATATAGAACCGTCTACATAAAGAGCACCTTAATAATCTGTATTAATATTAATCTATGAAAACATATAATTATGTGAAAGTGGAAACTTCTGCTTAAAAATTGCAATTTTACCTTAGGGAGTATATTTTTGGGGGTTCATTTATTATGAAAAAAAATAAACAACTTGAAATAAAAATGTTTGCTGAATTACTTTTCCTCCCCTAATTGTATTTGCTTTTTTCCTATCCTTTAGCCCTGATAGCTGAGGTGCAATTAGATTCCCTGAAACAAAAAGGAGCCATTAAACGAACCCTCTTCCTCCACAATCATGAGTCCCATCTCATCTTCCCTCTCGTGATAAAGCAGCAGAAATCCCTCCACTGCCAGAATTTTACCATTTACCTTCGAGTAAGTGTTTCAGAAATCACTTCCAGGATCCCTTTCATTCAAATCTGAATTCCAGGCATTTTTTTCTGTTTAACCATCATAACTTGTCTACTGAGATCCCCATCTGTCTATTTTCATTTTCATAGGAGGAAACTATATTTTAAGGTTGAATGCTTTCTTCTTGACCCTGGCTTCAACTAACCTAATGATCTCTTGCTATTAATTTCTAAGTCTTCTTTTTGTTTTGGACAAAATCTTGATAATAGCTTTTGACTCAGGTGGTTTTAATTTTAACTGCCTGTCCCCCCAAAACATAAAAGTTCAATATAATTTATTTGAATTTTTGTCCTATGTGAGTAAGTCTTGTTAGATATTATCAGTGTGCATTTCAGAGCCAGCTCAAGAAAACATTTAGGCACTCAAAGCTTTTATTAAAAGTAATTTGTAATTATACATTTTAAAAGTAAGGTGTTTGGGGACTAGGCATGGTGACTCATGTTTGTAACCCCACCTACTCAGGAGACAGAGCTCAGGAGGATTATGGTTTGAGGCCAGGTCAGGCAAAAAGGTAGGAAAGATCCCCAATCTCAACAAATTAGCCTGGCATGGGGGCACATGCCTATCATCCTAGCTACACAGGAGGCATAAAAGAAGGATCTAGGTCCAAGGCTGGCCCTGGCAAAAAAAAAAAAAAATGCATGACCCTATCTGAAAAATAATCTATAGCAGAAAGGGCTGGAAGTATGGTTCAAGTGGTCGAATACCATCCTAGCAAGTGCAAGGCCCTAAGTTCAAACCCCAATACTGCCAAATAAAAGGTAAAGTGTTTACAAGTCCAAAACATACCATGGCATTGCAAAAGTCAGAATATTTATAACACAATTATCCATCTTTACTTGGCCAGTTGTCAGGCTGTGGTCACTATGCCTATTTCTTTTCTGCCTGTAAGGGGCTTAGGTAGCAAGTCCCTGGCAAATTTCAAAACTTCACAAGCACACTGGAGAATGAGAAGTTGTGCACACATCTTATTATGGCCTTGACTGGCACAAACTGAAGGGTGATGGGCTGCCATTTGCTGCATATTGCCTGCCCTTGGATTTCTCCTTCTTTTTCAAATGTGCTGGAGGTGTTTGACGTTCATGAAAGCAAGGCTTAAAGAAATAATAAGGGAGGAGGAAAATCAAGATATTTTCTTCCTCAAGCCCAAGAGAACTCATAAATTCTAACAGCCTCAAAACTCCTCATTCATGATGATTTTCATGGCATTTATGATATATGGTGTATTCTTTTACTTTTGACTTGACCAAGTCTAGGTGAGTTGCTGAAGATCTTGAGTGCTAAAGATTACCTCTAGAAGCATATGTCAGTGACATTGTGGCCTGCTGGCTACCATATACCACATAAATCAGCATGTAGCTAACGCTGTGGCAATAACAATTGCTTCATCATTCACTTGCACTGACCAAAGTCAAGTGCTGCCTGCCTTTTGCAGATTAATATTTTGTAGTGAATTTATGGAGCCTCTGGTGAGTTTGTGATTATTTCTCCTAGGATGAAACTGAATTCCGAGATAAATTATCTCCAATCAGCATTAGTTTGAATTACAGTTTGGATGAATCAACCTTTAAGGAAGGCCTGGAAGTGAAACCAATATTGAACCACTACAAAGACAATGCTATTACTGAACAGGTAGGTCCTTAATGCACTTTGATGGCACTCTCTCAATCAAGCTGGGCTGGGGGGGACATTGACCTTGTGACCTGAAAGCAAAAGCCAGCCTCTTTTGTTCTTTCCTACATCCAGACATGTAACATTTGGGAGATTTTCCTAACATGTTTCCTAAAAGAGTGTATCATGTTTTTGGAAGCTTTTCCCCTTGTGCAACCAAGAGTTAATTCATTCAAAATGTGGCTGCCATGGAAGCAATGTAGCCCATAATCCTCAAAACAGTGCTAGAAGCATTCTTTACAGACATTTCAGAACAAATTGGGATTGAGCTATAATGTAAACTTGCCTATATCAGAAGGTCACCTCGTAACACAACGTATGGAGCTGGGTGGAGTCTTGCCTAGTGAAACGAAAGGTTTAGTTTAATTTGTGGAATCATTCATAGTTTTCAAGAGAAAGGATGTGATTCAGGTTTTCCCAGATTATTCTTGATGCATGGTTTGCTCAACACAGGCTCACATCCTGGTAGACTGTGGAGAAGACAGTCTGTGTGTTCCTGACCTGAAGCTATCAGCTAGACCGTAAGTTTAAGTAAATAAATGTGTGCATGATGTCTAATGGAATACAGGTGTTTGTTTAAAGCTTCTCTGGAGAAAGTATATACTTCCAACAACTACAAAAAAAAAATTGCTGCATGAAATTCTTGAGTGTGACCACTTTAGGTCAGCCCGTGGTCTGGTTAGTTCTTTGTCATTGGTGTCAGGTAACACACCCTGAGATTTTGCCTGGGCCGTTTCATCTTTCAGCAAAAGTGAAAAAAAAAAACTGTTTTTGTTAAAAGTAAACTCTTATGTGAGGTGGCTCAGGTTATATTTACTTGCCTCAGTCAAAGTGGGCAAAGGATTCAGACAGGCGGGTTCCATCTACACCTTAACCAAACTGGTTTTCCTAGCACCCCATGACTCAAAGACATCTTTAAAACTGTCAAAACAAAATTAATTTTAATTTACTGGGGAAAACAAAAAACTTAAAAGACACACTAGGGAGTAAAGTAGAAGGTGTCACAAAGTCAAATGAGAATCAAAGGGCTTCACAGTTGTCCGTAACAGGGACTCCAGACTAGTGCTGGTAATTGCACTGTGTTGTGTTACAGAAAGAAACAGGACTGGGTTTTAAGCCATTCTTTGGTGGAAAAGCATATCAGTGCCCTTTTCTCTCCCAGGAACTACCTCACTGCCAGTATTTTGGAATCTGGTTGGTAAACTCTCAAGGGGACATTTCCCCAAACTTCATAATTTAACAAGTGTCAGAAGCAATAACTTTGAGGAGGGGTCAAAAGTGGAAGAGGCATTTCTAAATACTGGTTTGATTTGGAGTTCAAAGTGAATTAAGTTTCCTTAAAATACTTCAAAACCCTCTATCTGCCATTTAAGATCTTATTTCATCTGCCTGTTTTTTCTCTCTTATCATCCACATTGCATTATGTCTGTCTCTTACTTTCTAAACCATCTTTCTTCCTTCTTAACCAAAGCTCATTTTCTTCTAATATGTGTGGTTCCAGTGCTGCCTTGTTCTGGCCAAATGTAAAATTTGCAGGAATTTTACTAGAAAATTGTGAAGTATGTTGGTTTACACCATTAGAACTCCAAAACGCTGTAAATCAGTTTATTTGAAAGCTGGTTGTTAAAACTGTTATCACTGGATGTTTTCCTGCCCTTCCCATCCAGAAATGCTCCTCTTGTCCCTTCTTCATGATGACATGATCTTTTTTTTTAGCCTTGCGTTTGTCACTTTCCTGTTTTTTTTTTTTTTTTGACTATGCTGGGGTTTAAACTCAGAGCCTCACACTTGCTAGCCAGGTGCTCTGCTGCATGAGCCACACACCCCTCCCTTTTTGCTTTTAGGGTTCTTGTTTTGTTTTTCAGGTCAGTTCTTGCTTTTGTCTGGGCCCTGTGTGAGACTGTCATCTTGTTACTTATGCCACCCAAATAACTGGGATTCAGGCATGAACCACCATACCTGCCTGGTTTTCCTCCTAAATTCTTAATTAACTAAAATATCCATGAAGCCAAAGAGGCAGAATTCCTAATCATTCTTTTTAAACTGTATTTTTAGAGATAAGCATCAGATAATCATTGGAGATGAGAATCACCTTATGCTTACAATAAATGCGAGAAATGAAGGGGAAGGAGCCTATGAAGCAGAACTCTTGGTCGTGATACCAGAAGAGGCAGATTACATTGGGATTGAACGCAGCAGCAGCAAGGTACAGCCAACAAATTATTTGAAGAGCTAGGTGTACGGTAGGTAAGTGTTAGGGAGAGCTGTCAGGCTGAAACTTCCCTCCTAGCTGAAAGAAAGCAAAATGGTACCTTACTTTGTCAACTCACAATGACAATAAGCCAGGAGATGGGATGGGCTTACACAGTCTGAACGTCTTTCTTTGCCATAGTGAGAAACAGAGATAAATTGGCCAAAGGTTGAGAGCTGAAGCAAGGAGGAGAATGGAACTGGCCAATGTGAGAGATAGGTCCGCTAACCTCCCAAGCAAATTCCCTTCTCTTCCTATCTTTTCCTTCATTTTATTTTAGCATTTTTTATTAGCACATAGTAGTCATACAAGAGGTTTCACTGTGACGTTTCCATATGTGCATACCATGTACCCCAGTTTGGTTCACCTCTCCGTTATTCTCCTTTTTTCTGGCTTTTCAAGCCTTATTTTGAGTTTCTTCAAGTTCCAAGCAAGTCAGGGAAGGCCTGGTTTTTATTATTGGTTAGGGGAAAAGGCCTAGCTGATCCCTGCTGAATACTGATAACAGCCCGGACAGGAACTAGGAAGAGACCAAGTTCATTTTTCTTTCTTCTTTGTCCACGTTGGTAGGATTATGACCAGAAAAGGCCCATTTCTTCCTCATGTGTCAGTGTTCAATGCCACTATTTATTAAAATGACATTAGTGCTATTCATAACTTTCCCATTTGCTATCAGAGCATGAGTCTTCACTCAGCACATCCTCAGGTCCTGCAGTGCTCTGAGTCACATTGTCTAGAAAACCATTATGAATACATTAGAGATTAACAGAGAGATCCTCTGTTTCTGAAATACAGGAGACCCACAAAGAAGGATAGAGACCAGGTTTCACATTTCCTTTAAAGAAATAGGCACATCATACATGCTCCTTAAATACTTGTTTTTTGGGTTTTTTTGTTTGTTTGTTTTTTAATTTATTTTGGTGAGACTGATGTTTGTTTTTTTTTTATTTAATGTATACTTTCTTTTTTTTTATTATTCATATGTGCATACAAGGCTTGGGTCATTTCTCCCCCCTGCCCCACCCCCTCCCTTACCACCCACTCCGCCCCCTCCCTCTCCCCCCCACCCCCTCAATACCCAGCAGAAACTATTTTGCCCTTATTTCTAATTTTGTTGTAGAGAGAGTATAAGCCATAATAGGAAGGAACAAGGGTTTTGCTAGTTGAGATAAGGATAGCTAGACAGGGAGTTGACTCACATTAATTTCCTGTGCATGTGTGTTACCTTCTAGGTTAATTCTTTTTTATCTCACCTGTTCTCTAGTTCCTGTTGATTTAACTGAAATTTATTAAATGTCGAAATTTTCCCAATACTGCATCCTCTAAGGAGCTTTCCCTCTATTGACTGAATAATTCAATGAAAAGCAATTCCTCTGATGTGATGTTGGTATTTTAAAGGCTTTTAGAAATTTAAGTGTGAATTCTCTATTCACACGTCTAGTCTCATGGACTTGTATTTGAGTTAAACTATCTTCTTACATAAAAAAAAAATCCAGACTATTTTGATAGTCATTCAAAATCATTATGTATTTCTATTGAAGAAATTAATAGAAAAATCTACAAACTCATAAATTATATACATTGAATAAGGATAGCTTTTTGTATGTCAATTATGCCTCAAAATTGGCTTAAAAATAGTCCAAAAATGTTCTAACTCTTCTTTGTTACCAATGAGATTGGATAAAGGAAAAAAAATCACCTTCACCCCACTTCTTTTCAAGAGTATTTACAACCCCAAATATGTCCCTCCTCCATCAAACATGAAAATCAATTTGTACCCTAATTTCCCCAATGAATGGTCTATAGTCATCCCATCTCCTTCTCCTCTAGTTATGTCATTTTGTACTCCTCATTGCTCTACTAAAGTTACTTCAGGTTATAAGAGATAAGTGAGAATAAGTGGAGCACTTATACGAGCTATGAAGATAGGATAAGGGGGATTAAGAAGGAGTTATATACATGGCGCAGGTTTGATCAAAGCACATTACATTCATGTATGCAAATATAACGAAACCCCTTTGTAAATTAATTTAAGCTAATAAATAAATAAGTAAGGCACGGAAAGAAAAAAGATGGTGTTTGATAACCACTTTGAATTGAAAATTTCATCTCATAATAAAACTTTTACAAGCAAAAAGAAAGAAAATATCACCTACAAATACATGCAAATAATATATAAACAAACACAAAAATGAAATTCAAGTATGTTATTTTTTCAATGTTCCAGGGCTCCACTCATATTTTTGTTTTCTCTTCATGTCACTACTTCACCCCTGACTTTGTTAAACAAAGCATCTATTTTAGAATGTTCTTTTAGCAAAACATCCAATTTACTGTTCACTTTGTTACAGCAGAAAATACTGGGGAGTGTTTATCTGTCTATCTTTGGCTATAAACATTACAACAGACATTATCCATAATCTCAGATGTGCCCATAACTACTTTTTGTTCTCCATCAATTTTCCTTGGGCACAGACTTGGCTTAGTGTTTGAATTTTACATGACTGAGCCACAGTCTGTTTTGTTCTTTGTTTTTAAGCACTTTGAGGTTTGTATAGATTTTTATTTAAATCCAGTTTAGGATTTTTTTAAATATATGCAAATTTTTCTCACAAAGGAAAAAGTACTCAGAATTGATTATAAATCTTGTGGTGCTCTGTGGAAAACATTCATCTGTTAGAAAATGTATGATCATTACTTTTCTCTAGAAATCAGACTGGAGTCAGCCTTTACCCTTCCCTTCATTGGCCTTTCTTCTAATTTTTCTAGGAGTGAAGGCATTATTATTATTATTATTATTAAATATATATGTGTATGAGATCAACTCTATCATTTTAGCATTTTAAGTGTACAGTCCAGTGGTGTTACACGCATGTTATTATGATCACTTTCTTCATTTGAAACTCCATTCCCATTAAAAAATAATTCTCTATTCCCTCCTCTCTCAAAATTAACCACTATTTCACCTTCCCTCTCTATGAATCTGGCAATTCTAGGTACTTAGATACATCTTCACTTGCATTTTTCCCAGCCATCTCACCCTCAACAAGTCCACGTAACTAGACTTTTCATCTCCCCACACCCATGTCCCTCTCCCACTGAATTTAGAATATTACAGAATGACACCAGCATCCACCTGGTTTCTAAAGCCTAAAGTCAACCCTAATCTCTAATCTACATCCTTCTGTGTATCCAAAGCCACTGTCACTGCCTTCCTTCAGGCCAGCAGGACCTATGCCCAGATTATTGTATCTGTCTCTCTACCTCCCTCCTCCAGGCCTTTCTCTGTGGAGAACAACATCTAAGATGCAGATCTGATCATGTCACTCTATGGTTAAATCCTAACCACTTGCACTATTTTATGGATAAAATCCAGATCCCTCAGAGAACTTATTCCATTAACACTATCACCCTTGCTTACCTCTTCAGCCTCCCCACTAATTTTTTATTCTGTTACTCCCACACCTTAAATTCTAGCTGCACAGAAATTCTGTCTAGTTCATCAACTGTCTTGGATGTTTTTTCTCCCTGACTGACTAACTCTATGCCCTTATCCTCTTCATCTATCTTACTTCTTTCTACTCGTCCCTCAAGCCTTCATAATAATTGAGACCTACTAATAACTAGGCTTAGTAATAATTGAAACTACTAGCATTTATTGAACAATTGCTCTTGGCTGGGAATGGCTATGAGCTCTTGCTTGTATTTAAATTTGCTCAATTCTCCTAGCAACAATCTTAGAGAATCTCCATGATGTTCCGTGCTTTATACATAAGGAGAAATTAAGCAGCAGATCTAAGGTTGCACGGTTATAATACAGCAGAATCAAGATTCAAATTTCATCTGTTCTAAACAACTGATAAGCACTGCCCCCATCAGTTTAGCTGTTGCTCCTCCAGGATGTCTTCTCTGATTGCTTAAATTTGTGTGTGTGTCCTTCTTTATCACTATTTATTGCTCTCATCATACAATTTACCAAGCTCTACTGTAATTGTATGTTGTTACAATTGATACACTAGTTAGCACAGCAACTAAGAGATAGCATAGATAAATGGGACTTCATAAAACTAAAAAGCTTCTGCTCAACAAAAAAAATGGTCTCTAAACTGAAAAGATCTTCCACAGAGTGAGAGAAAATATTTGCCACCTACACATCAGACAAAGGACTGATAACCAGAATATATAGGGAACTTAAAAAACTAAATTCTCCCAAAACTAATGAACCAATAAAGAAATGGGCAAGTGAACTAAACAGAACTTTCTCAAAAGAAGAAATTCAAATATCCAAAAAAATACATGAAAAAATGCTCACCATCTCTAGCAATATTGGAAATGCAAATTAAAACCACACTAAGATTCCACCTCACCCCTGTTAGAATAGCCATCATTAGCAACACCACTAACAACAGATGTTGGCGAGGATGCGGGGAAAAAGGAACCCTCTTACACTGCTGGTGGGAATGTAAACTAGTACAACCCCTCTGGAAAAAAATGTGGAGGCTACTTAAGAAGCTAAACATTGATCTACCATTTGATCCAGGAATACCACTCTTGGGTTACTCCAAGACACAGGTTACTCCAGAGGCACCTGCACACCCATGTTTATTGCAGCACTATTCACAATAGCCAAGTTATGGAAACAGCCAAGATGCCCCACTACTGACGAATGGATTAAGAAAATGTGGTATTTATACACAATGGAATTTTATGCAGCCATGAAGAAGAACGAAATGTTATCATTCGCTGGTAAATGGATGGAATTGGAGAACATCATTCTGAGTGAGGTTAGCCTGGCCCAAAAGACCAAAAATCGTATGTTCTCCCTCATATGTGGACATTAGATCAAGGGCAAACACAACAGGGGGATTGAACTTTGATCACAAGGTAAAAGTGAGAGCACACAAGGGAGATATGAGGATAGGTAAGACACCTAAAAATTAGTTAGCATTTGTTGCCCTCAACGCAGAGAAACTAAAGCAGATACCTTAAAAGCAACTGAGGCCAATAGGAGAAGGGGACCAGGAACTAGAAATAAGGTTAGATCAAGAAGAATTAACCTAGAAAGTAACACACATGCACAGGAAATTAATGTGAGTCAACTCCCTGTATAGCTATCCTTATCTCAACTAGCAAAAACCCTTGTTCCTTCCTATTATTGCTTATACTCTCTCTTCAACAAAATTAGAGATAAGGGCAAAATAGTTTCTGCCAGGTAGCGAGGGGGTGTGGGGGGGAGGGACAGGGCAGGGGGGGATGGGAGGGGGTCAGGGAAGGGGGGAGAAATGACCCAAAATTGTATACACATATGAATAAAATAAAAATTTAAAAATAAATAAATACAGTCTCTATATAGTTTAGCACCAAAAAAAAAAAAAAAGAAATTTATCATATTTATCAGGACCCAATAAATAACAGTCCAAGGTAAATATTTTTAGTGATTGAATAAATGAATGAATAATACTCCAAGAACTATAAATGGATTGGAACAAAAATGTCCTGGAACCACTGAAGAAAATAATCTAGAAATATCTGGAAAAACAATCATGGCTTCTCTTCAGAGGAAATAAGGGTTAAAAAAAGAAAGAGGGTGGAGGGGATGAGGCTAGAGAAAAATCTTTAATGTCAAATAGCTATTTCTAGGAAGCTGAGAAAATGTACATGTAACCTTTAACCTTCAGGCAAGATAAAAATATTTACAATAGAAACTACACCCTTGAATTATATTTAAGGGACATGTGGATGCTTTTGAAAGCTTTTGTTCTGCTTTCTTTTATGTTTTCATGATTAATAATCTCAACATGAAACATCTCTGTACAATTAAGGTCAGTTACGAGTTCTTAATCTCAACATGAAACATGACTGCATGATTAGTATTAGTTATGAGTTATTAAGAAGTTGAGTACCTATCAAACCTTGCTTTTTAGTTTCCTCTGCATGACCAACATGCCCTCTGGAGCGAGCCTGGGTTAAATGCTCCCTCTAAGTGTCAGTGACACTCCTTTCTCATTAATTAGAGTGGCCTGAGTAATGCCAAGAGGGGGGTTCCAGAGCTAGTGCGTCCTTTGCATGCTCCCTGTAGACTTCCCTCTACAAAAAAAGCAAGTGGAAGCCGGGCACAGGTGGCTCCCCCCGGTAATCCTAGCTACTGGAGTCAGAGATCAGGAGGACCTAGCTTCGAAGCCAGACCAGGGCAAACAGTGCTCAAGACTCTATCTTGAAAAATACTCAACACAAAAAAGTGCTACGGAGTGGCGCAAATGAAGCATGTCTGCCTAGCAAGCATTAAGGCCCTGAGTTCAAACCCCAGGACCACCAAAAAAAATGCATTTGAGCTGCTTCTACCTGTATCTCCTGCCACCACTGCTGCTCTGTGCCCATCTCTGTTCCAGATTCTTGGGATCACTTCTGAAACTTCTTACCTGAAAAATTCACATTGTTTCCTTATATAAAATTCCAATAGCATTGACAGATGGTTAAATGTTCATTGCATTGGGAACCATCTTCCATGGACTTCAGTCAAAGACAAATTCCCCAAAGGGTTTTCCTCTGTGAAAACCATCACATTGCAAGCTCATCATTGGGAATGAAAGTTACAGTCAATAAACTGAGATGTATTCTGAGCTAGAATTAAATAATGGGATAGCCTAAGTTGTTATCAGTAAATGCAGAGTAGGGGTATAGGGTCATTAGGTTTTGAATACAGAAAGAGAATGGGGCTGTGAAGCCAGGGGTGGGTTTCTAGGTAGCTGAGAGCAGCATGAGGACATAGGTGACCTGAGAGAATCAGAGGGCAGCAAGAATAAACCTTTTTTACCTTCCCTTCTCATTGTTATAACACTGAGACCTCATCCAGCTTGTAGTTCCAAGCACAACTTCCAACTTGAGTTTTTATAAACTCCAATCAGAATAGTATATAGGGAGAAAGAAGGAGATTGGAAGTACTCATTAAATGTAAAGATGTTCTCATTATATCTTAAGTAATTGGAGGATTAAACAAAATTTATCATATAATTTCCAAATGAGCCCATGGTGAGTAGAAATTTGTGTTCAAGGCAACTTGCTTATAAATGGTCATTGGTTCTTAGGATGATCTCACATTTTGCTATCATTTCATTTTTGTAATATTCACATGGAAAATAAGTCTGTTAAGTCATGTTTAATTATCTATAATTTTCATTAGTGAGGAAGTAGCTTAAAGTGTTCCTATAAGCACTATTTGAGCAGTGTGTTCTTCAATAAAACACACTTGCCACTTAACATATTTCTTTCCAAACTTTAACTTCTGCTTTTTTCTCTCAGGTTTCTCTTTTGAGTCAATGGTCACGGATGAATTTTTGTGCTGGGTTACCCACCCAGGTGTTTGAAATCAAAGGGAGCTCCAGGTCCACAGCACTGCCTATGACAGGATGTAATTTATTCTGCCCCCTGAATTGCCCCCTGCTGTTCTCTCACATTGTAGGGATTGCGACCATTGAGCTGTGAGTACAAGATGGAAAATGTGACGAGAATGGTGGTGTGTGACCTCGGGAACCCTATGGTGGCTGGAACGAATGTAAGAGAAAAGCAGGGTACTTACTGATTTCCGTCTAATTGAATTTTACAGAGAACTACTGGAAAGCTCCCCAATTAGCACTCAGAAACTCAGCACACAGAAACTCAAACAAATTAGGCAGGAAATGACCAGAGTAGTAGGATTTAGCATCATAACTCACGCAAAGTGATAATCACAGGTAAAAACACACAAAAAATAGGTACTTTTATATGTTTTCTCTTTAGACATTACATGTATAGTCTTTTAGTTACAGCAAAGCTAGAAAGACATTAAACTACAGACATTTTCTTTGAATATTTTCTCTTTGAATTTACTACAAATTTTTTTCTTTGAATTCAAGAAAAAATACAACATGTTAAAAACTTCATAACCTAATTAAAACAGATTTTAGCAAAAAAAATAACATTTCTAGTATTTCTGCTATATCAATATCATTCATAGAATTTTCATATTAAAAGTATTGACATAATCTAGTTTTTGAATCAGCCTTCCTAGGTCTGTATTTAAAATAATACAGAAAATTGTAGCGATAGAAAAAAAGATTAATGGTCATCTCCATTATGCTTCTAAAAGGAGTTATTTTTTTAACACCCTCCATTCCTTCCTCCTTCTCCTTCTTTTTCTTTCCTTTACTTCTTTCTGCTTCCAGGTTTAGAAACTTCCCACTCATGATTACTTGTAGATTACAAATTCATTTTATGCAATTACAAATTTAAATATACACACAGTAACTTCTTGTAATAAATGTAACAGTGGCAATTATTTGGTGAAGTCATAAGTCAGAAAAAAATCTGAAATCTGAAAATGCTACCTAATTCTTACATACATTGAACCTACATAGTCCTCTATTTAACATTAGTTGTTTCTGTTTATCAATGAAACATCTTGTTTGGAAAAAAAATTTATGAAAACTTACAGTTGTAAAAGTTTGTATTAGAACAACTTCCCAATGGATTCCAAAGACTGTTGGTCCCTTGGACAAACTTTAGAAGGGAGCTCTGGAGTCACTGCCAGGCATCCTATCCTTCCCTGGGAGATCCAGGTATACATTTTAAAGGTGCTTAGTCTTTAGGTAAATAAATGTTTTAGCCCAATGCTTCATGCTTTTACTTGAGCATTTGAAAACTTTTTAAAAATAATACCTATTTCCAACTTAGACTTCAGGATATTATGCTAGAATAATATTTTTTCTCTTTTACACTGTAATATTACACTGATCTTAGGTAATAAAAAAAGATGTGCCGAATTAAAGCCTAGTAATCTTACTTTTTGAGTTAAAAAGTATTTAAACAAAAGTTAATTCCTATGACAGGTTACTTTGTTTACCATGGATTGATTATTCCGTGTTATAATCCCATTACCAGGGAAGGGAGTGCTTTTATGTTATTTTGTTGAATTTTCAAAACAACCCTACATGTCAAATATTTCCTCCATTTCTGGATGAAGAGACTGAGGTCTAGAGAAGAAAATGAAAGGGAGATGATGACAGACAGACAGGTTTCAAACCAAGTCTGACCATAGAGCTCATGTCGTATCTGGTCTGCAACACTGTGGAAAATACTTGAATGAAAACTAATGAAGAACAGATGAGATGTTAAAATGGAGCCATGAAAAATTGAATGGGAGGTCTGAGATGTCAGAGCATTTTTCATTATAATCCTTTTATTTAGAAGTTAATAAATCATTTTTCTAGTTTCCAAGAAAAAAAAATTCAACCACCCAATTTGACATAAAGAGATTTACCTAAGGGCAAATGGGGATGAATTCACATGGTAGAAGCTATGATAGCATCTGTAGTTGTGATCAGTCATTCCTTTTAGTATTAAAAGTGTTAAATCTAGGCCAGAGATTGTCGAAGATCATCAGTAACTAAAGATAATTTTGGAACAAAAACTGGCCAACAGTGTCATTCAAATAAAGGGATAAAAATGGCAATGTGATCTTAAACACGAAAGTGTTTATGTGAAAGAATGTCAATCCATTTTACCAGCAAATAATCTTTAGAAGCCAAGGAAGTAAATTGTTTATATTCATTTATCTCTGACGTCTATAGTAGAAGAAACCTAATAGCTTCCTTATCTTACCCTTTAATGCCCTTAAACACATCAAATTTTATTGCATTCTGTTTTGTTATAAAACACTCTGATTTATTTACTTCTTCACTGTGTACCTTGAAAAGGCTCTCAGTGGAGTGTAGTAAAATTCCAAATGGAAATGCAGTCCTAAATATTTTTTTAAAGGTCATAAATCACCAGGAATATTTATCCCAGTCCCAATGATAAAAAATACTTTTCAAGTAACCTTTCATTTTAACTTAAAAAGTTAAAGTCAATAACAGAAGTCTGACTTCTGATTTTTAAATAGTAAAGCCATTCATGGAGTAGCTGTCATAATATAAAATAGTTCTCTATAAATAAGGCTCATATCAGCTTGCAAATTTTCTCAAGCAAGAAAATAAAAGGTTGGTGGAGTGGCTCAAGCAGTGGAGCACCTACTAGTAAGCACAAGACCCTGAGGTCAAACTCCCGTGCCACCAAAAAAAAAAAAATCAGAAATTAAAAAAAAAATAGCAGGCCAAATCTCTTTCAAATTAATGCCCAGAGATCTAGTCTTTGGTGTTAGGTCATACATGCAACTATTACCGGTATGAAATTCTTGTGTCTTGTGTCTAAATCCCACATAGACTGCTCTATGACAAAGTCCAACTTTAGGCAGGCTTCATCTCAATACAGCAAATTCCATCACTGAATATGTACAAACAAGGGTACACTCTCATTCTTTCAATAATCTATATTGAATCCCTTCTGGGCCATATGCCTGGTACTAAACTAGAGTATGTCCAGAGAAATATGAAAATACACAATCCCCATTCATAAAAGAAACAAAATTAGCACTATCATAGCTTGAATGGTGAGAGAGTAGTAGAAAAAGAGACAGAAAATAAAGAAAGGAAAAGTTCTGCCTGGCCCAGCCTGCAGCCTCTGGATTCGCTCTGGAGGTATATCTTACCAAGTTTTGAAGCTCTTCACTTAGAAAAAGCAAAAAATCTTCCAAAGAAGAGAAAGAAAGAGAGAGAGTGTGTAGATGTCTAACAGAAAATTGGCACCTTTGGAATTATAAGGGAGTTCCTCTTTGCTGAGGCGTAAAGGGTTCACATGTTTTATAATTAAGACACATATGGTTTTAAATATCAGTTTTGTCATTTATTAGTTGTGATACTTTGAGCAAGTCACATGAAGTGGAAAAATAACTCCTTATAGAAAAGTTGGGAGCAGTACAATGATCTGACATAAATGAAGACAGTGCATCCCATGGCTCATGGCACATCCGGTAATGAAGGGTTAGTGGATTGAGGAGGATGGTTTCTGATAAAATGATAACTTATTGTTACCTCATAGCATCACTGACTCGTATTAACGTGAGTTTTGTTACTGGCTTGATTCTCATACTGTAGTAGATTCCAGAATCAGCCATGCAGAGATTTAATTTCAGCTCTGTAGTTTATTTGCTCTGCACCTGGAGCCTGGCACTTACTCTCTCTAATCTTCAGACTGCTGTTAGACTGTAAAATGTCAACAATAATACTATCTACCCCAGAGTGGTTGTTGTGATTGAGATAAGGCATGTAAGTCACATACAGTGCTTAGAAGACTAAATAATACAATTTTCTATGCATGTTAGATACTGTTTTTACTTCTTTATTTTCATCATTGGATTTTTTTGTCTCCATTTTTAATCCATTTTGAAATAAAAAGAGAAGTTTTAAAATTTGGAAAGGAAGGAAAGAAAAATAATCCATGCAACCAGAGCTGGAATTTTTCCTTACAATGTATTCCCATTCCTATATAGTAATTTTGTCACGTGTAGACTTTTAAAACCATACCTAAAATATACTGTACAGCCTTTATTCTTCATTGATGATTATTGCATTAGAAGCATGGTCTACATCAATGCATTGATGGCATAGCTGTAATTTCAATAATTACATAATTGTCCATCACACAGAAGCATCATAGTTTTCCACATCAATCTCCTTTGGTTATTTTCAATTTGTGCATAAGAGAGGTGGCAGGAGAAGAGGGAGTACAGGGCTAAATGAAAAGAAGGAACCAAAACTTGAATTTTCTGGGCTCTGCAGTCTCATTGTATGACTTCCTTTCCACTCTCAGACATCCAAGGCAGAAGCAGGTGAAAAAGGTATCACAGTGATTCTGGGTCAGCTTTGGTGGCATTGCTTACAAAAGATTTTCATGCTGTGTATAAGATTCCTCCCATGTAATAACTTTCTGTCCCATGTGTATTTGTTATTGCTTTTGCTTTTAGTATTCTCTGGGCCTCCGATTTGCAGTTCCACGTCTGGAGGAAACAAACATGAGCATCAACTTTGAGCTCCAGATCAGAAGGTTAGACCTTTAAGTGCCTATGCTATCTGTAGCACTCACAAGTAAGGAGATTCTGAGTGAAAAACCCACCACTTGACAAGCTCCTTTGCCTTACAAGTTCATCTGAAGTTAAAACCTAGACTTTATTTTTCTCAATTATATCAGTTGCTTTCAATAGGTCAAATTATGAGGTAGTCAGACCCCACCTTGCTTCAACCCCACTTTTCCTCATTGCAGGCTCTCAGCTGGTAGTCAGCTAATCCATGGGGGAAAAAGTCTGTGAGAAACAAAATTATACATTTTGTATGTGCAACCTTGAGGTCTCCTAGAGTTCAGAAATTAGTGAGTCTCTGATGGTTGACTGGGAACAACATGGCAAGAGGCAGGTGACATCATGCTATGTCTGGAGGGCAGGGCTTTCTCTAGCTGATCTGTGTAGGTAGCTACTTCCTTTTTCTAAGGATGACCCTGCTTACAGATTCAACTTTCATTGTCTATTCTGTTTGCTCCTTTGTGGCCAAAAATATCTCATGAGTAGGAAGATTCACGCAGTAGTGAGGCACGCAGGCTGGGAGTTCCCAGCTGGTGATAGAATCAGTTTAATGGCTCTAGACACATCTTAAAAGAAAAGGAAATTGAACGGAATAGAATAGAATGATAATATATGATACAGTTCATGAAACATTCCTTTCAGATAAATGTAAACGTGTATAGCAAGATTCCCTGTGAACTGGATAGAGTTTTTTACAGCCTGCAGTTTGAAAACCTTGGAAAACAATGACATAGACAACACATGCATACTTTCTGGGGTTACTTATGCCTTCTCCAGAAATTACTATAAAGTCAGTGTCTATAACTCAGCTCTCAAATACTAACTCAATGTGGCCAACCTCTAAATTTACCTTATTATCTTATGAGAAGGGTCACTGAAGTGTGATAACTTTTAGAATAATCCTGCTGTGTACCAGATGACATCAATTAAAGATTTAGGATTTTAAAACTACATATATATAAACTCCGTAAGAATGTAGCAAATTTAAAAAATCAGCATCTTGTGTCACAAGCCACCTTCCCTGAGCTTTGTGACAGCTCTCTAGAAAGGTCTTCTAACTTAGCTTGGGTGCCCTTTTCTGACCTTTATTAGGTTTTCCTTGAATATAACTTAAATATTTTCTGCTGAATCTTAGAACTTTTCTTATTTTATCCAAACAAAGTGATGTAGATGGGATGAATTCTTCTATAATATCTCTTAATTTTATCAATAGATTACTAAGCCACTTCTCTGTATCTATGAAAATACATATTTTCCAAACGATTTACATAATCATAAATATTTTCATTTTTAAATCTTATGAGTGTCTTACTAAGTTTGTGGGGGGAGCCAGAGTGAAGGATAAGCATCACTCCAGGCAATGACTTAAAGCTGAAGCATCTGCTTCTCTCTATCATGGTCTGTGTCAATGACCCTGCAGTGACAAGAAGCTTCGCATTGCTTGGGAAAAGACATTTCTCATAGATCACATAGTCTTTATTTAGAAAGAAACTCTAGTGCAGAGATGCCAAGCAAATTCATCCTTTCTCCTGACTATAGTTATGAACAAGGGAACAGATATGAATAGTATTTCACTCAAGGGACAAAAAACACTAGGTAATGTTCCAAATTCCACTCCTGAAATTCATCCTATAGGTCATCATGTAAATAATGAATTCAGTAATGAAGTGCTGGATTTGATAGGAAATAGAAATGGCCGTGTTTATAGCATCCTCCCTTCATCTAAAAATGGGTCATGACTATATTTCATTTCTATCCATAACTGTTTTGAAATTATCCTGAAAAATATTAAAATGTAGAAAGAGGGCCAGGCACAGTGGCTCACACCTATAATACTAACTACTCAGGAAGTGGAGATCGGGAGGATCAGAATCCAAGGCCAGCTCTGGCAAAAAGTTACTGAGATCCCATCACCCAAAAAGCCAGTTGTAGTGTCATGTGCCTGTCATCCCAGACACTCAGGAGGCATAGGTAGGAGGATCATGGTCCAAGGCAGGCTCTGCAAGACCCTATCTGAAAATGAGTAAAGCAAAAAGTGGCTTGGGACATGGCTCAGGTGGTATCCTACCTGCCTAGCACATGTGAGGCCCTGAGTTCAAACTCTGGTACTACCAAAAAAACAGACAATGAAACACCTCAAAAAGAATTAGAGTATACACAAAGGATCAATTTCCCAAAATATGCATTCTAGAGATAAAAGTGTTTGAGACACTTTTAAACTCAAATGCTAAGGTATTTAAGAGGTGAGGATTTTTTTTCTGTATGCCTTGCTGGCAGGCTCCAAAGATATTATTAAGAATTTAGATGGGAAGTTTTGCATTCAATTTAAATATTCAAATGCTCTGAAGTCTAAACTCTTAGATATATTAATTACTATCGAATACCCTCTTCTACAAATAGAGACCAAAGGAGAAAACCTTAAAATACTCCCTGTTACCAAATATCTTTTTTAAATAGTCTTTCCTTGGGCTTGCTCTAGGCAACATAAACATTTTCCTCCCTTTGTAGAATGGGTCTCAGATTGCAATTCCCCTGTCTTTGCCATCATCCTCGAACTTGCTTTCTCAGTAATGGTGAAGTGAAAGCTGTTGTCTTTGCTGGCATTCTAAAGACCACAGAAAAGGTAAAAGGAATGTTAGAAGATAGGAAACAATAGGAAAAAGAAAATGACACTGAATAGTAAAGGGAAACACTTGTTTAGCCTTTGTGTTTGACATAGGATGTATCCTATAGAGGAAATCCATCATCCCTTGCGTAGAACTAGCACAGACAGCATAAATAGCTCAACATCCGTGGCAGTGACGGATTGCTTGTTTGAACGTGGCAGTGGTGTTAGTGAGGGAGGGTTCCTTCCAGGAAGGAGGTCAAGGAAGCATCTAAGTTATATATCAAGCCAAGTTCCTTTCTTACCAGGAGATTTTGCCAACACTACCAGTATGTGGTAGTGAGTGTCACAGCACATCTGTGTGACAGGGAGTGATTCCGATTAACCAACCAGAGGGTCTGGATTCCAAGTCTGCCCTTACTCTTGCTGCTTTTCAGAATCCTCAAACATCCTCATGTTAGACTCGGGTTCAAAGATGGCTTCAGCATTTGACATTGACTTACATTTTCAGGGTGTTATATGTAAGGAAACTTGTGTTATCTAAACCACTTGTGAACAAAGTACAATAGAATCATGCAATAGCTTGAATAAAAGATTTTCCCCTCATGATTCAGATTTTCTCTGCTGTGAAGCAGGAGTGAACCGAAAATAGAACAAAATCTGGTTAGTCTGTGGAGCAACTGGTTTGCTTGTTTTTTTATTTATATGTGCATACAATGTTTGGTCATGGAGCAACTATTTTTAAGTTTCTAAACTAAAAATTATATGTCTTACACAATTGGTACATGTTAATAAGATGTTTAAAAAAATTTCTCATAATATATTTGGAACTATAAAGTCTTCAACAAGTAGAATTACTTAAGAATGCCTCAGTGTTTAAATTCTTGAATCCTTCCTTTAAAATAAAAAAGACCTTTTCCCCCAGATGTAATAATCATAAAATGAAATGGTCTGGAATCTGGGGTTCAAATTTTGTGGAACAAGTCCCTATAGTCTCTATCACAAGTTTAACAGCACTGCTCCATTGCAAAAACTGAGCCTGATATTGGTCTGTTTACATCTTTTATGCATTTGTGCCATCTAAGTTGCCTTTTCAGTATACACAATCAACCTGGACTTTTCGAAAGCATTGTGGGAACAATTCTGTCTTGTCTTCCCTCAAGAGCAGAATTTTGTCACATCCTTTGAAAAGCTTCAGACTCTAGTGAGAATCTATCCCCTTACCATGGTCATAGTGTTACAGCTTGTCCACTGAATCCAAGGAAAATTCAATGATCCACAAAGAGCAGGCTTTCTCTGCTTATGGGACCTGAGTATAAATATGGCCTGTAAGTGGTGATGGGGCCATGTGTAAATTTGTTAAAAGCTGCCCAATCCTATGGGTGACTTGGGTGAAAGCACAGAGACACAATAAATGCACATGTTATGTGATCCCATGCTGTCATTGGTTGAGCCCCCTTGGAGGTATATTTTATGTTCCTTACAGCACTGATTGCTTAATGCATACATTTTTAAACTTAAATTTCATATCCAATTATATTTGCTTGAAACAAAAAACAAAAATTTGAAAATAATTTTACCACTGTTCAAAGAAAGAATATTCAAACACACACCTTCTATCATAAGACTCTGATGCATTTCACAAACAACTGTGTCATCCTTGAATTGTCTACCTATGACCCAACTTCCTTAGGTCTTGCTTTTTCTCAACATCGCCAGTCTCCTAATTCACTCCCTACACCTTGCCCTAGACAGCCAGTGAGTATGCAATGAATGTGCACTTACTTAAATATTAACTTAAGAAATAAACCATAAAGAATATAAAATTGCTGCCAAAACAATGTATAGGCTGATGCATTCCAGAGCCAAATGCAAATGCTTTTCCAATTATGTGCTTCCCTGGATTATTCATGCCAGTTCTCCTCCTTATTGGCATGGAAAATCAGGAGTTGACTGTACTGTCGTTTCTTATTTAAAGGGAAATGAACACAATGCACAGAGATGTTAAGGAATTTGTCTGAAGAAGAAGCTGGAAAACAAATTCAGATCCCTGTCTTTTGGCTTTAGCCATTGAAACTAAAAATTGCTAGCTTCTCTAAACATCTGTTGTATTTCCAGATAAACTATCTCCTCATGGAAAGTTGTTTCATTGGCATTGACCATAAAATGGTCTTTGCATCTTCCTATATAAATGGTTATGATTTTGTACAATGAATATACCATTGTTTTCTAATGGTAAGGTTAGGAATGGGTTTCTCTTGTGACATACAGAATGTTTTTCATAATCATATAGTGTAAGAACACATTTGAGGAAAATATATTTAAATCATGCGTTATTGTATTTTAGTTCCAACAAGGACAATCCAAACAGCAATGTTGTGAGTTTGAAAATCAACATCACTGCCGTAGCTCAAGTAGAAATAAGAGGGTAAGTAATAAACAATAGCTTTCCATATGCAAAGGCATAAGATGAAATACTAGTAAAAACAATAGAGGATATTTCTATTGCATTAAAGGTCAAAATTTGCTCTGGTTCTCAATTTTCATTTTTTTCTACTACTCATTAGCATTCTATGAGAAAGTATAGTAAATCCTTTATAATAATTAACTCTAAGGATATGAAAATAACAGATTACTTAATTCCCCCGAAAAGTTGAGTAATCAAAATTTAAAAACCAGTTGATAAGAAGCTAGATAAAACAGACAACATGTAATTGCCTTAAAAAAACCCCTCACTTTTACAAAAACTATTTTAGCATACAGACAAATTAGCCTCACCATACCTCCTCTGGTCTTTAATAAATGGCTAACTTAGATTCTTGGGAGATGGGATCTTCATTCTGTATCTTTTTCCTCCAGTCCTGTTCTTTGAGGAAGGTACCAATAGCAATCAATTGAGGGACAGGAGGAAGGCAGTCAAGGAAAAGACTTGGAATGACTACCAGCTGGAAAATCTATGCCTGGAGGGGAAAGGAAATCAGTAGTGGACAGCATGAATTCTTATCTTGCACAAATGTGGACTTCATTGACTTTGTTATTGTAACTCTGCTTCCTTCAGAACAATCAAGGACTTGGCTAAAAATGTCAACTGGTAAATTGTCTCTAGGGTTCCAGAATCCTGTTTCCCTTTTGCACAGGTCCTGAGTAACTTGCACTCCTCTGTGATGACAACTGTGGATTTCTGCATGCAGAGCCATGGTCACCATGGCCCTCCTACTGCTGTCCCATGATGCTCTGCCCTGCTGCCTGGGTACCACTGTGGCTCCCCCTAGTGGATTGAAAAAAAATAATAATGCCTACCACCTAATGCTTTCTAGGTGCTACCTCCTTTTAGCTCATCCTGATATAATCTAGTACCCACCTTTTGTAAGTGATGTAATGGTGGCACAAGGACTTTAAGGCTAGATAGATGGAAAATAGAGAACCAGAATAGAAGCAGAGGCAACCTTCTCCAGAATGCATGCTCTGAAATGATCATGTTCTCCCATCTATGACATAGTTTTTTGAGCTTTATCTATATGCTTCTGTCATTTTTCTTTATTCACACAAATGTTTTTGTTTGTTTGTTATTTGTGGTTGTACTGGGGACTGAAGTCAATGCTTTGCACTTGCCAGGCAACCACTCTACAGCTTGAGCCACACCTCCAGCCTTTTTGTTTATATTTTCGTTTTTGAGATAGTCTCTTCCTGATTTTGCCCAAGCTGACCTTGCAATTCTCCCACCTTCATCTCCCAAGTAACTAGGATGATAGGTGTGTGCTACCATGCCCAGCTGAGATTTACCTTTTTAGGGCATGTGTTTGTAGTTCACTCATTTTAATTGTTCAAGAGTATTAAATTATAAAAATACACCATCATTTATCCATTCTGCTCTCGATAAACACTTGGGACTTTTCTTTTTTCTTTTCACAACCTTTTTCATACTGTCTTCTGATACATACATGGAGAATGTCAGCATTGGTATAAAGCGTAGTTTCAAGATCAGACAGTATACACCATTTAACTTTAGTCAATAATACCTCTTTCCAAGATTCTTGCACCAAATGACACTCCAACAAGATGTGGGTGGAAGCTTCCCTTGCTTCACATTATGAACTAACTCTCAGAGTGGTCCAGCTTTGAATTCTAATTTGGCTAATAGATAAGAAATAATACATAGCTGAGTGTGTGATTTGTAGCTCCCTAATTCCTAAATGAAATCGAGATGCTTCTTTATGTGTTTGTGAGTCTTTGTTCTTCTTCTTTAGGAAAATTCTTGTTAGTATTTTGTACATGTCTCCACTAAAAGGATTGACTTTTTCTTATTAGTTTGCAGGAATTCATTTATAGTCAATAATTTAGATACTAATCACTCAGACATACTGTGAATACCTTTCCACAGTTTACGGGGCTTGTTTTTAAAGTCAAATTTAAGATATAAATTACATGAAATGAAATTCACCCTTTGGTGAGTCCAGTGTGAACAGGCATAAGGCCAGGTTTTGCCCAACTGTTCTTCAGAGGGGCTGTACCATTTCCATTTTGCATCCCACTGGCCATGTGTGCGAGTTCCCATTGTGCTCCATTCCTGCCCTCCATCCTTGCCAGCGTGGGTTTTATGTGTGTTTCTATTCAGCCATTCTAGTAAATGTCTTTTCATTTCCATTTTATTAATGTCTGGTTTCACTGAGGAACTTTTCCATACTTGTTTGCCATCCATCTCTCTTTTTTGGTGGAGTGTCTCTTTCAATCTTTTACCCATTCATTACTGGGCTGTTTGTCTTATTAACAAGTTGTCAAAATTCCTTATGTATTCTGGATAAAAATTGTTTGTTGTCTATGTAGCCTACAAATATTTTCTCTCAGTCTGTAGTTTATGATTACATTTTCTTAGCATGTTGCTTAAAGATCAAAGTCTAAAATTTTGATGAGATTCAATTGATTAATTTTTATGATTTGTGCTCTTTGCATCCATAAGAAGTATTTGCCTTTCCAATGTCACAAAAATTCTCTCCTGTGTCTTCCACTAGAAGGTTTAAAATTTTAGGTTTTATGTAGGTCTGCAATTACTTTTAAGATAATTTACATATATAGTGTAAGGTAAGGGCTGAAGCATATTTTGCTTATGCATATCCAGTTGTTCTTATGCTATCTGTTGAAAGGAGGATCCTTTCTCCATTAGACTACTTTGGCACCTTTGTTGAAAATCACATATTGATGTGCAAGTTCTGGATTTCCTATTCTTACCTATTGAGCTACACATAAAATCAGTCTTGAAATGTAGGAGTATGCCCTGTTACATTGGGAAACTCCTAAGTTGTAGCAGCTTTTCTGTTTATTGATTTCTGGAGATTTTTAAATATAATTACCATGTTTTCTGTGAATAAAAAACAATTTTGCATCTTAATTTTCAATCTACATTGTGCAAAAATTTGGTTAACTGCAAAATTAGAGACACTACAAGAGACCACTCTCACTTTTAACACCAACAGCGATTTTGAGTGGTTCCCCAAACCATCTTGAAGTCCAGAAATTCCTTAGAGGGGTTCACAAATCTCATCAAAAGCTCTCATACTCACAATCACAGTTTATTACAGGGAAAAGATTCAGATTAAGATCAGCCAAGGGAAGGAAGACATAACGTGGAATCAGGAGAAGTACCAATAACAGGGCTCCCACTGTCCTTCCCAACAGAGTTAGGACATGATTCTTTCTTGGCTTTCATTGTGACATATGCATGGAGGATTATTACCAACTGAGATTTCCCCCAAGCCTCAAAGTTCAAGGTTTTATTAGGACTCCATTACATAGGCATGTTGATAGCTTGCCTGCCTACATGATTGATCTCAGTCTCCAAGTTGACTAAAGCTCCCATCCTAAGTCACATTACTGGTCTCTCTGCTGTGGACAACCCCCACCCTAAATTATCCAGTGTGAGCCAAGGCCCCAAGCAAATGTATTCACTGCTAGCAGGAATAAGATTCTGAAGGTTTAGAGATTATCCCCAGAAACTGAGATCAAAATCCAGACCTCTTCATGTGCAATGTTAAATTATTTGCTACATAGTTTAGTCTTCATTTCTTTTCCCTCCCTTACAAACTAGGACCACCAGGGCAAGACTGAATAGAAGTGATGAAGGAGACATTCTTGCTTTAATCTCAGTCTTACAAGGAAATCATTCAGTCTCTCACCGTTAAGTTGAATGTTAACTGCAGGGTTTTTGGAGATCTTCTTCATCCAGTTGAGAATATTCCCTTCTATTTCTAGCTTTTTCTTGAGAATATGTTCAATTTTGTCAAATGCTTTTTCTGTGCCTATAATTTTTCTCTCCTTTTTTTAATCCATGAAAGTGGTGAATTGATTTTTTTTTTAAAGAAAGTCATCTCTTTATTTCTAACCAAAATCTCTAAAGTTCTTTTTTTTTTTTTGAGATTTTTTTGGGGGGTTATTTATTCACTTATTCATATGTGCATACATTGTTGGGGCCATCTATCCCCCCACCCTCTGTCTCCTTCCTCTCCCCTTCACAAATTTTAAGCCTAACTTGCATTCTGGAGAAGAAACATATTTAGTTACAATGATTATCCTTTTTATATATTCTGAGATTCAACTTGTCAAAATGTTGTTAGTGACATAGTGTTGTTTGCATCTATATTGGTGAGAGGTATTGATCTGTAGTTTTATTTTCCTACAATATTCTTTTTTGATTCAGGTGTTAAGGAACATTAGGCCCATGAAATGAGCCAGAAGTTCCTCTGTTTGCTCTATTTTCTGGAAGAATTTGTGTAGAATTGATATTATTTCTTCTTTAAATATTTGGCAAAATTCACAAGTGAAGCCATCAGACTCTGCAGTTTTGAGGAGTTTTTTTAAAGGAAGATTTTTTTTAAGTTAAATTTCATTCTTAATATAAAGCTAGTCATACTGTCTATTTCTACTTGAATGGTCTCGGTAGTTTTTCATTCAAGAAATTTGTTTGTTTCATCTGCATTATTACATGTGTCAGTGTAAAGTTGTTTATCATTTTCTTTAATTTCCCTTTTCATGTCTGTGGGACTTGTAGTAATGCCCCTTCCATCATTCTTGATATTGGCAATTTATATCTTTTCATTTTATCTTCTTTTTAGTCTATGAATCTGACTAGAATTTAGTGATCTTTTCAAAGAACCAGTTTGGGGTTTTGCCAACTTTTTTTTTTCTTTCTTCTTTCTTTTTTACCCTATTCCATTGGTTTCAATGCTTCTTTGTCATTTCTTCCTTCCTGCTTAGAGTTTGATATTCTCTTCTTTTTCTAGTTCTCTGGAGAACTTCCACCAATGAATAGTGGAATTATTTTCCTATGTAAGATTTAGTGCTATACATTTTCCTCTAAGGATGGCTTTACCAGCATTCTCCAAAATGTTGATATATTAGGTTTCATAATAAGTCCATTCAAAGTATTTTCTAGTT